TCCTGCATTATTTCCATTCACTGCCATCTGATAACTATTTGTTTTTAGAGCACAATATTAGTTTTGCAAGACTTGATACTTAACGTTTATTTTCTTCTTAAATTGAGAACAACTGCCATAGGAAAAGAGGTATACAGCAGAAAATAGGATTCACGGAATCATGGAATATTGGTTCTGTAGGAGAGAGCAGGCAAGGGATGGGGATTAAGATATATTCAGTTCCTACTGTATGCCAGGCATGATGGTAGATACTTCATAATTTATAATCACCACAACAGCCTTATGTGACATACATTAATATCCCTAATTGGACAGATGCGAAAAAGACTCAGAGAAGGTAAGTAATTTTTCTGATGGCACATAGAAGATGTGTTAGCAGAAGGACTCCAATTAAGGGCTATCAAACTGCAGAGTTCGTTCTTTCTAATTCACAAGGTTGACTCTTCGGGGAGGGAACTTGGCATCATCTAGCTCAGTTCTGCTCAAATTCTAATGCGCATATGAATCAGCTGTGGATCTTGTGAAAATGCAGATTCTGAATCAGTAAGTCTGAGATCTTGCATTTTTAACTAGCTCCCATTATCACGCTGATGATGTTGGTTTGGGGAATACACTTAGAGTAGCCAGTCTCTAATTTACCCCCTTGGGTTCTGTTGTGGAAACCTAAGGTTCAGAGGTTAAGGCCTAAGAACACATAACTATAAAGTGACAGAGCTAAGCTTGAGACAGTGTCAATGCCAAAAGATTGTTTGAGAGAAGCCCCCTGTTATTCTCCGTCAGTCCCCCAAAAGAGACCCATATAAAAATGCATGTACTTGCTGTGCAAACTCGGTTACAAGAACTTCCTGAGCCCCCTTTTCAATCAGATTGCTGTCCCTCCCTTCTCTATGGAATTCTGGAGTCACCACTGCTACAAACGCTTGTGTACTGACTCCCAGTTAATGCTTTTTCTAGTGTAACTCAAGTACGTAACTCAAAAGTGTGACACACAAATAACTAATGGAAAGAAGCCATCACAATCCCTCTATGACAGGGATCAGAAGCTCAAATGTCCATGGCCAGGCAAGTAATGTAAAGGAATAATAGGCAGGTCTGGTGGGGTGCTGATAAACTTGAGAGCATGTGACAATCCCCAAAAGGCAGCCCATACACAGCTCCCAGGAAAGACAAGGAAGGACGCAGGACTGTGTTGCGATGCAGAATCAGTAAAGGCTTCAACCAACCCATGGAGAACTCTGAGGCCGAGATCTACCATAGTAGAGTAGTTTGGTTTCCAAGAGATTCTAATTAATTCAGAGAGGCTAGTTCGGCCTAAACTCTTCTACAACTAGTTAGAATCTCACTAAACAATCCTGTTTGCATCCTCTTTCAATGTTTGATTCCTCTGAGAACATCTAGGACCTCCTAGGGAACTGGGGTGGTGTGGGTGTGGGGCACCATAATCTGATAATTATGTTTCTGCTCTCCCTGCTCTTCATACATATTCATGGTGATATCTGAGACTTCCTCTCCCTTCATTTTAAAAGTCTGCCACAGAACTTCTAATTGGCTTGTGAATTTGACTTCAAAATGCTCCCCTGACTAGGGAACTGTCTTGTTGGTAATAGACTTCTAGAGAATCTTATTAAATATCAACTAGTGGTTCTCTTCTTATATAAACATCTGGATAAATGAAGCACCTGCCTATTTAGATCCACTTAAATATTTTCATAAAAGAAACCAAATC